TACTAAAAGACAGCCAAGACAGGTTACTTTGTAAAGACCATAAGTCAGTTTTATGTTATTGGATATGGTAACATGAGTGCATGTGTGGCGCATCATTGTAACTTCTATATTCTTTGCCAGGCATGGCTGAAAGGTCAATATAATAAATGTATAATGTTATGAGATTTAAGCTATTTAATCTAAATATTTATGTTTTCATGTTATAATTTGTGTTCAATTTAGAATGAAAGAAGCATGATTTATATTTATTTCCTAATTTTTTATGGTTACGAGATCAGTCAAATCTACCAAACCTGTACAGAGATTCATTACTGAAAATAACAGATAAAGTATAAAGTTTTTTCTTAAGAAACATTTGATAATTATCTGGACATTATAAAGATTTCACACGTGAAATTTCAAAATTTTCTGATGCATAAAATTATTTCAAATCTTAAAATGAAAATTACTTTGCATGTTAAATGGGCAACATGCAAAAAAAAATGGCATGAGAAAAACATTGCTTTACAAACCTTAAGACTTAATAAAAATTTGATATTTTGCATATGAAACCATTGTAATGTTTACCGATAATCTGCCAAATGTCGTTAACATTCGCTTGCTAATTTAAAAGTTATAGCATGAAAACTATAACAAGCACAAAATGGTTACGAGGTCAGTCCCAGGGACCGAGCCTGTGCTGAAAGAGTTAATGGACCAACAGATGATGGAAATAAGTTACTCTGTAAAGACAAATTATCTTAGTTTTTTTAAACATTTGAATATTATTAAAAACTGCAGAATAACTCCAGCAGTTGTAGAAAGACCATTACTAGTGATAACTAACTGAAACAATCGATGAACTTTACTTCAAAATGATTTTATTTTTACAACATTTTTGTCCTAGGATCTTCTTTGGTTAATGTCAAAGAATTTTAATTATATTTTTTTTTTTAGAAATTAGCTGCATAACTAAAGAAACTATTAAGAAAAACTATCCTTTTCATTTCGAGGAAAGACTTGCTTAGAAAATGAGCCTTGAAAAGTGTAACCTTATTAACACATGCACATTAATTCATTTTGCAGTTCAGAATATTATCTTGTTTTTAAGAATGCTATTCTAAATTATTGTTAAGGTTTTGATGTTGCTCAAGACCAGTATGATTTGCTAGTAATATATATATATATATTTTTTCTGTAAAGAAATTAATACATTTTTTTTGTCATACTTAAGTAAATTCCAACTTTTGTATATGAACACTACAGAACATAAGCTATTACCAGTAGTTTTTATTAGTTCAAAATATAATTATTTTGTTTGTTTGTTTGTAGTTAAGCACAAATCTACACAATGGGCTATCTGTGCTCTGCCCACCACAGGTATCAAAATTGAGTTTCTAGCATTGTAAGTCAGCAGTGCTGTGCCACCAGGGGCCAAAATCAAATTATACCTTGCACTCAGTTGTTAACTCTTTTTTTTCTTTGGCATTGCAGGTTAACTGTTTAAGAGTCAGCTTATTAGACCAACATCAACTATGAAGTAATTATATACTACAATAACTCTGAATTTACTATGTGTATCTTCTCATAATTTGGCAAGCATTTAGTAAACATGCAAAATCTGTTATACACAAAAAACTGATTTTTTTAGTAAGGTAATTGTATTAAAGATTTGTTGGTGAATTTTCAAAGCCTTTACTGAGTCAGTTGAGGGGAAAGATGATCTTTATGCTAAAAAAAATTCCTATTTTCATTGTACTGTTTAATATTTATTTGCTTAATCTCTCGAACCTTCTAAGTAAATATCAAATGTTTTTTTTTGGGGGGGGGTAAATTTTTATTTTTATCTCTTACTTTTTCTACTCTAATACTAACAGCATACTTGGTTGTCGGGTCTGTATAACAGCATACTTGGTTGTATACTGTCAGCATACTTGGTTGTCGGGTCTGTAGAGAAATCATTAATGTATAGTGAAATGAAAACTTGAAAAATATGAAATAAAATGAGTAGTGCCATTCTTTTCTTGATCAGAAAGTTTTAAATTACTCAACAGTTTCACCTGTTGATCTTTCCACACCCATTTTCTTTTAATTTCATGGTTTTATTGCCATATTTTATACCCACTGCAGTAGCAGTCCTTGTGTCAATAAATCATGATAACAATAATGCTTGTGAAAGTTTAATGTTTTATGTTACTGAATTTTTTTTTTTAGAGTAAGCTGAGGAGTTTTTAATTTTTGCCTTTTAGTTACTTTTGTTTAGAAATATATAACAGTATGTAAAAAATATACCTTAAAAACAAGGATTTGAAGTACTCTCAGGTTTTTGCAGTCAGAATTGCCCTTCCCTGAGAAGAGTAGTTTTGACTGAAAAGGTAGCTTTCAAACATGCATATTAGAACACAAAGATATATCGGTCACTAGAATAGAATGTTCTGAAAGTACTATAATATATTGAGTTTTTTTTATTAAGTAAGCTGTAAATAAATTCTGTTAGCTATTTGGAGTAGCAGTACAATAATGATGAACCATAAAACTTGTATTAAATTCTGTTAGCTATTCAGAGAAGCAGTACAGTAATAACACACTAAGAAACTTGTATTAAATTCTGTTAGCTATTTGGAGTAGCAGTACAATAATGACACACCAAGAAACTTGTATTAAGTGAATAATCTTCATGCTAAAATAAAAAAAAACAGTAATAAGCTCCATGTAGAGAAAAACCTTCTTTTATAAACACGTTCATCAGTCGTGTAAAGTTGATAAGCAAACAGTCGGGGAGAGAGGGAAGGGCTTCTTTGATTGGTTTGGCAACTTTATTGATTTCTCAGCAAATGAAGAAGGTAGGAAGTGCAAGTTTTAGATTCTCGCTTAAAGATATGTAGAATATGTGTTTCTAATTGATTGAAAACTGCAGCAGCTAATTTTTGAAGTTAGAAAATTCTAATCTAAAAAAATAGAAGCTTGGATGCATTATGTGAGAGAAGATTGAAGATGGAGAATTTTTCAATGTTTATTTTTGAAAATAAGAAGTTAAGAATGTAGTCAACATAAAATTTGAAACCTAAACTATACCTAGTTTTTGACATACATTGATAATAATGTTGTATAACTAATTTTGAATGTAACATTCCAAATGATTGTCACATGCACACTTGTGACACAGCTGCACTGAAAAGAGTAATTTAAGTGTCTGTAATTTTTTCTTTTTAAAAGTTCAAAGCACATAAACCAAATTTATACTTGTGAACGTCTTTAAAATGAAGACCTCTTATTTCAAGTTTTATCTCTGCCTTCCTAATTTTAAACTTTACTTTTTTATTTAAGTACAGAAACAAAGATTGAAAGTCTAGAGTTTTAGATCTTTACTTGTTCAAGTTTTTACCTTTTTCTTCTTTTATAATTTTAACCCTTCCTGTTTTATTTTTGAAGAAAAATAGAGGTTAAATGACCTTTTATAGACTTAAGTTTTATTTACTTACTTTTTTAATTTTACCATTTTTATTTTTGTAGAAAAACCGAGCTTGAGATCACGTCACGTTTGAGTCAAGCTCTGAAAAGGTGAACTGGGCAGTAGTGTGTTATTCCTTTTGTCATGCTTCTGTGTTACTTCATGTATGTTTGCTTTTTAATTGAGAAGTATTTATGTAAAAGTTTTATAAGTTTTTGGAGGCTTTTACTGTTTGCTAATTAAAAGTCTTAAGTGCTCTGGTATAATTTAGAAGTTAATATCATTAAGATGGGTTCAGTTTTATGGAATATTACTGAATAAAGAATAATTCTAATATGAGGAAGTATAAGCTCAGGTAAGGTTTATCTTTGAGGCAAATATGAACACTAAAATAAAAATCAGTATAATAGAGTATTCCTTGCAGAGTGTTTTATTTATAAAAGTTTTTTTTATAAAAAATAGTTTTTACAACAAAACTACAAAGTATGAGGTAAATCGTAACAAATTTCTGATTCTGAAATTAAGATTTAACTTGTGTCTTTTTTTTTTTCAGTTGTAGGCATTCGCAAAAGCTTTTCCTTAATTCTCGAAAAATTGGAGAGTATACCTGAAATTGTATTCTACACTAAATTTAAATGAGTTCTGTGAAAATGTAAACCTTTGTTCATTTCATCATTTTTACAAATATTTCTTATAGATATTTTTATGAATAATTTACCCATTTCTTCTGAAAAGTATAAGAGAATTCGATCTAGTAATTTTAGTGTAAATTATTGCAGACAGTTTTATTTTGTACACTTTGTTCTTCTAAAAAAACATTTAACAAAAATAAATTTACATATGTCTAAATGATAAGTTACTTTTTTTGACTCCTTACTTTTTCAATAATGGAAATGTAAAATAATCATCTTTGCCTAAAAATTGTTCATAAATGCTACTTTCCTATCTCCAGAATTGAGAGCTATTACTTCACACCACTGCTGTTTTGGACATGTAACAAGCCTGTGATTGAAACTACAATTCCTTCTTTTAATAACATATAGTGTAATGCTCTTTACATCATAAACTGTAGTCTTCCACCAATAGGAGGGCAACACATCCACCATGTTTAATACTCCCCTTGTGCACAACGTTTATACCAAAGGTTCATTTTTTTCCCCTTGATACTGCTAGTGATTTAGAAGTTTTTTTATTATGAATTATGGAATTTTTTGAGCTTATTATTTTTAACACTTAGTTAACATTCAAGATATTATCTTTGTTACTTTTTATTTCTTGATTTCGAAAAGAACAACCCAAGTTTTTGAGTTAAAGTTTTCTTACATTCACTTGATTTCTTCTCGTAATAAAACTACAAGATTTTAGAACGTGTTCTTGAGTGTATGGAACAGTTTCTTTGACAGGACTATTTCCCAGGTTTCAATATTAATTACAATTTTTGTTATTACGACAGTGACCTCCTTTACATATCATGGACATTCCAGACGTACTTAATAAAAAAAAAAATTTGAATTAGTTTTGTGAATCTTATCTGTGTTTCTGAAAATCTGAGAGGTCCAGAATTTTCTTCATAAGAGTTGACTTAGTTTCTTTCAATTGTGACTGGAATTACTCAGATGGTTAGCAATGTTACCACCATTGTACATCACATGTTTGGCTCATCTTGAATCCAGGACTCAGCTTCCTGCTGAACTGCCTTGTTTTTGGACATCTTTCCTCATCTCACTCCACACCTTGCCCTTGCTTCTGGTTTTTTTTTATTCTCAACTAGAATCAAGTAACACCGATCTTTGTCCTTTGTAACTCTGATAGCTCAGGTGTGTGACAATTTTTCTTTTGCTTCAGTTGCTTTCTGCTGTTTCTCAGGTTAGCTTCTTGCATTCACCTCAATTTGTAACATGTTTGTTACCTCTTCCTACTTGACATGTTGTAATGTTATTGCAGATCCTTTCAATTTATGCTTTGTATTGACTCTCAGTTGTCCTTGCTGAACTACAGATCCTTTCTCTATGGTTGGACTTCTTCCTCTTTTCTGGTGTTCCTGTCCCTTTTATCTCTTCTAACAGTTTGGTTTTTTTCTTCTTTTTTTGTAATCTGATTCTTTTTATCCTCAACCTGGTCTTAATCTTTTGCTTACTCACTATCTTAGCTTGCTATCCCTTTTCCCTTTTCATTCTGGGGCTTTGCATTGCTACTGTGACAGCTTTACTGTTTTTCACACTGCCCTATTTTCTTCTTCAGCTATTTCCCAGTTCATTTTCTTTGATTTTAGGACTTGCCTTATTTGAGTACCATATTTTTTGGAGTTATACTCCCTCTGTTTTTTATATTGGGGGAACTATTTAACACCCTTCCTTTATGCAGACTTTTTTGGGAAATTTCTCATCCTGGAATCCTTTCCTAGTGTTCCCTTCTTAAGAGGCCAGTTATCTTAGAGCTGTGTGATAAGTTGTTTCTGTATCAATACTCCCCCCCAGCTTTGGTTTTGTGGGAGATTGGCTCTTACATTTGCCCACCTGTAGACTCACTTTACAATTTTCATGGGACCCATGGGGTTTCTTTTAGGAGCCTTCTTTGTCATTCAGGATTTTTTCACAAATTTTTAGGGCATTCAAATGGAGACTGTACATTTCTAAGATACAAAGCTTCTAGTTTCCAAGGCTCTCATGTTTCCTTTTCTTCTTCTGCATAATGATCTGTGCATTTTGGGATATTTTGTTTCTTTCATATCTCTCACAATGGATTTTGGCAGATCAGTAGAATACACCCTTTGAGCCACTGTCTTCTTTCGTTTCTCTACCTCCATCTCTTTCCTTCATGCTGTTGTGGTTGCTTAGAAGTTTCCACATTACTCTGAGCATTTTTTTTTCTTCACCCATCCTGAATTCCTCCAACTGTTCATGGATACTCTAACTGGGTGTGGTGCAATTCTGGATAACTTCACCCTTTTAGTGTTTGGTATTCTGCAAAGTGGTCTTCCACATTAATGTCTTTGGGATGTGGGTAGTTCAATAGACCTGCTGCCATCTTTTGTTAGAGCTATCTGGGCATCCTGATTTCATCTATTTCCAGAACTCCACTTTTAGTTTTTTCATCTACCCACTAGGATCACTGCTTTAACAGAATCTGGATGTTCTAGTGTTTCTGTTGATTTATTCCCTCTTTGGGAATAGTTTCATTGATTAATTTGTGATTCCTCTCTATAGTAACTTCCACTTTTTTGGTCACCAGCCCCAGACTCCATGGCCCTGGCAATACTCCCTTTGACTCTGGATTGGTCCAACCTCTTTCTATATGAATATCTTTTTCAAATTCTTCATATTTTGCTTCCTTTAATTCTTAGAACCCCTTCCGAGGTTCTTCTCTTTGCCTCTTGGCAGTCCTGGGACTTCTGTTTCTTCTGTCTCAGTGGTTCCTTTTTATGTCAGGCATGAAAGTCCACATTTTCTTCACAGGCCACTAATTTCTCCTCAAAACTTGGGTTGCTCAAATGGGTAATTGGATATTTTCTGTAATCACCTTCCCTTGTTTTGGCTTCAATAGTTTCCTTTGGCCTGTTAGGGCAATTTGCTGTTATCTCGTTTGCATTGCTCCCTTTCAAGGCATTAGACATAATTGTTTTTTCTGTGGGGTTTCACTTTTATTGTGACTTGTCTCCTTCTACCTTGACCAGTTGAGCTACAGAACTCATCTGGCGTATCTATTCCTCTACGATAGGTAACTTCTTTCATGTCACCTTATATAAAACTAGTTATCTCACAGCTTCTCTTGAATCTGGCTGTTAACATCCATTCTGTGTGATATTGCAAACATGACTTGAACTGTGTTGATGACCCTGACACCCTTGCCTCACAATCCTAACACTACATTATAATTTCTTCCATCTTTGGGTTTCATCTCCCTCTAGTTGTCATTCTCCAGTCTTTTCAGTGGCTCTAAAGAGGTGAGCTTGTAGATCCCACAAAAAACAATAGCCTTAACCTATCATAATGAATGAAACAGACTCACACACATACAAACTGGAGATAATGGAACCCCTCATGTGGCTGGTGGTACCTCACAGGGATTACTCATCCCTTCCAATATCTCCATTGAGTGGGATATCAATTTTGATAAAAGAGTTAGCACAAAGGATCACATATAAAGTGTAATAGATTTAAAATAAAACCCAAAACTCAGCACTTTCGAATAGTTGACTATTCTTCTTCAGGAGAACAAAGAAGAATAGGTAACTATTAAAAAGCGCTCGAGTTTTGTGTCTTATTTCAAGTCCATTGAGTGGGAGATAACAGAAGGTTTTAAGCACATCTGCCCCTGTTCAGTACACAGTGTTGAGATGAGGTTTTCTGCAAGACTGTTCATGCAGTGTGTGTGTGTGTGTATGTATGTATGTATATATTACCTTGCAGGTTGTTCTTCAGAATATAAAAATTTACAGCATCAGATGTGATCTTGTCATTGTATCTGGCTAGCACCTGCTGTCTATATTCATGGTACTGTGTTGCACAGTCCATGAGTGTAAGACCTTATGTAAATGATATAAAATTCTTGATTGGTTCAAGCACTTCTCCACTGTTCTCCCCTAGGGGGAATCCTTGCTTTCCAAACCCTCTGAGAAAGTCAATATGAAGAGTCCCTCTTTGTGTTGACCTAATCTCACTGGTATGAGATCAAGTGGTCACACTGTTCAATAGGAAGTAGGACTGGGATTTTTACTGGGAAGTGTATTACAGGCCACCCCTTTCATAGAAAATCAGACTGCTCCCCATGTTTATGCCAGCTGGATGGGACTTGCATTCTCTACAGTATAGAGGTCTGGAATGATTCATCTCTGCACCTGTTTATTCTAGTATTCATGCAAGCGTTCTGACATACTGTATGGTCTGACTTACTGCTCTAGCCACTCTATACATACATGCTCTGCCAACCAGATCACTTGAGAAGTCTTTACATTTTACCCTTGTATATGACACTTTGATGCCATGTAGAAGTTTTTTTTTATATTTATATATATATATATATATATATATATATATATACTACACTACGTTACCGTTCCGCCACCTCGCCACCCGTACGTAGTAGTAGTATTGTAGTGTTCGTTCCTACCCTACTTAAGTAGGTATCCGTCC